GAGGGAGGGAGAGAGAGAAGAGGGAAGGGGAGGCCCGCCCAAAACCGATGTTAACTTTAGGGGAAAGCTTCGGGGAGGGGGGTGCGCGGCTCCGGGAGGGGAGCCCCTTCTCCGCACCCGCGGGGTTATCTTTCCCTCCCTCTTCCCCGGTTGTCCGGTGCCGGGAGGAGCGCGCAGCCGGGCGGACTTCGCTGCGCCGGCGAGGGGTGAGGGGCTGCTGCTGTTTCCCGGTGTTTTGCACCGAGGGATGGCTCCGCAGGGGACGGGGTTCCCCCTCCCCTGAAAGGCATTACCGGAGCCTTTCAGTCATCCTTAGGTTTTAACACTATAGGTGCGAAGGGCTGCAGAGGTTTGCAAATATCCCCATCTTCCTCCCCCCCCCCTTTTCCTGCACCCTGAAACTTTGTTTTATTCGCCACTTTTAGTCCTGCATCAGAGAGACATGTGTGCAGAAAGCCCAGCTCCCGCCCAACCAAAAAGTTGTCGTATTGGGCTCCCAAACCTCCCCTTCCCACCTCCTGTAGGTACCCATGGCGGTCACTCATTCAACATTGTATTGGAAAATGAGGCGAAATGGTTATAAGCGAGCCCTGACATGGTGTATTTGTTTTGCAACGGTAGCCTGTCCCCCCCCATCTTCACCACCCATCACCCCCCCTCCAAGCTGGCAAGCGGGTGCCCAATGTCCATTTGAGCGACAGTTGGCTGTGCCAGCACAGGTCGGGGAGTAGCTGCGCCTGCTGCGGAGATGCCACTGTAAATAGCCACTGCACGCACAAAACTTTTGTGCGACACTGGTGTCGTGTGGAGTGGCTGGCTGTGAGCCCGCGTCCAGGCTATTTGCTCTGCTCCTTGAAATGCTATTAGTTAGAAAAGGAAGATTTTTTTAAAATACTGCTTGACTTTTGTACTGAAGCCTTTGTTATTATTTATATTGTCATGGGCTTTGAAGCCTTAATCATGCCTGCAGCCCTGGTGGCAACAGGACCTGTAAAATCCCACCTTGCATCCTATCAGACACAGTCTGCTGTGGCATCTTGTAGTCCAAACCAGAGAATTTCAAGTGTGGCCATGTGAGAAATTAACGTGTTACCATAACATGAAGGTGTCTTTCTGTTTTTCTGTGGTATTTTGTATTTATCTAAGGCAACCAGGAACAACAACTACTCCAAAAAATTGTTTTGCAACTTTGATGGCAAATCTTAGCTGCTGGAAAGTCCCATTTCTGTTTCAGACCTCTCTGTCTCATCTCAAGCTTTTAAATTAACTGCATGTTGAAAAAATAGTGGATGTTGGAGATGGTGTTGATTTCTAAATTGCTGATAGCCTTTGGATTTAAGTGAAAACCTGGTCTCAGGGCTCAAACGCAGTATTAAACTTTTATTAACATTTGTAGGGTTTTTTTTGCTGTGGGGAAGAAAGGTGTGCAGTTTGAAAGAAAAATTTGGCCATGACAGCTGGGCATTTTGCTGGGTGTTGAAATTGTGGAAAAACAGACTGCTTCAGAAAAAGATGCGTGCATTAAAAATAGATGTTTAGGTCATTAACTATCAAAGTATGGCTGACAGTGTAGTTCTACCATTTAGATTTTTTTTCCACGTAGAATGCTGTTTTAGAAAAATAGAAACTTTCTTTATGTTGATGAGCAAGCTTTTGTGTTTGAGTTACGACGCCTTTGGCTTGCGTGCAGCATTTTTGCATTTTCAGGGCTGTAAGTAGTGTTGATTGAATTAATTGCGCATGGTCTCAGTTGGAGTAACAGTATGAGATCTGCCCTTTGTGAGGGGTAGCCTCCTCCTAGACAGGCCCATCAGCAGTTCAGTAGAAGGTGTGATCTTTTGGATCTTCCTTGTCTCTCTCTTGCGTACGTGTGCCCACTTATTCTTAATATGTTCTTCCAAGATGTTCCACAACTAGAAGGAAGCTAACTGCACTGTTTTCATACCAACTACGGATGCCCTGTTCTGTCCGCCTCTACAGGATGAAGGAATGTAATTAATTTGCAGATCTCACTGTTATCTGCATACAGAAAGAGATGATCAGGCACAGTGGGACAAAGGTCAGGAGTCACCATACTACTCTCTCCCATACTCCAAAAACTTACATTATCCACACAGTGTCCTCAGCGGCTGGAAATTTTGCAGAAGTCTGGAATATAGCACCAGGACTTCCAGTTTGTTTAGGAAGCGAAAGCTTGGGGAAATCCAGGTTGCATCCCAACTGGGCTAGGGGTGAAAGGGTGGATGAGTGCTGCTTCCCTTGTCTCTGCATCCAGAGATCTTTTCCATGGGCTTCAGGATATGCTTCATCCCTATATGAAATCTTCACCTGGGATGTGCCCTGGGAAAATGCGCTTTTGCTTAGTATGAGTATAGCACCTGTGCCTTACTCAGGCCACTAAAATAAATCATTAGTGAGGAAGTAGTAAGGGTGTCAGAAGTAAGACTTCAGGTTTCAGTGAGAATCTGGGCATAGGGTTCAAAGGTAAGGAAGACCAAATACCTGTGAGCTTCAGCATTGGGGAAGGCAATGATTTTGGAGCCATTCTGAACAAAAGGTCTAGTCTAGATAGTTGGTCATTAACTGGCTGTTAATATGAGATCTTACAAAAACATCTTTCCGTTTGTCTTGAGTTTGACCCAAAATCGAAAGATTTTGGGGTTGACTTATATTATCTTTTGAGGTTCTGTCTTCCATTCTTCTCTAGCGGAGCAAGTCCGCTCAGGTGTCTCGGATCACTTCACGAGCTCTTTACAACAGCCATTTGCAGGAGATAATGTAATTCTTGCTCTCATTTGAGAGTCTAGAGAACTGAGATAGAATTCAAATGACCTATCCAAAATACACAGTAAATTAGCATAAGAAATGAGACAGGGAAACAAGTTATTTGCTCCAGTCACGGGATTAAATTGCCTTTCCCTAACTCACTGCAACTGTTAAGAAATTCATGGGCCATTCCTCTTGCAATAACTTGAAAGGAGCAGACATGCCTTTTATGCTTCTTTCTGATGTAAGTGGTATTAAATATGCATTGTAGCTCAGTTACCTTAGATAACTGAGCATAAATTCATCCATCTTCCACTTGAAATTCTGTTCCCAAATGTAGCAGCTGAATAGTCTTTCTTTTGTTTTCTACTTTCTGGAGAGGGTGGAAGTTTTTTTGCTTTTGTTTTTAGAGAAGAATCTTGTTAGCATTCCTTAGAAACTCATTAAAATGCTTCCCTTTTGGCTTATTCTCCTAATTTATTAATACCACAAAAAACTTTTCTTTGGTGACCCACTTTCGTAGGTATCTGAACATCTAGCAAAACTGTAACTCATCAGGAAGGCAGTGTAGACTAATAAATAGCATCTCCAGACAGAGAGGAAAATTGAGACACTTCTTTCGTTGCCACACAGAGTTCTACACACCACATGTACAGAAAATATTGCTCTATTCCACAGCTTATTCAGCACCCTTAGCCCAAACGAAAACGCTTTATTGATTGTGTGATTGATTTAAAGGTCAGAATTTAGGATTGCATCTATTCTCCTGGCTGAATTCAATTTTTACCCTACACTCACAGTGAAGAAACTGCTCTTTGCATAAATATAAATTGAAATATTGGTCTGTGTGAGTGTTCAAACAAATAGACTTTATCTTGTATCTCCCAGGGCAACTTCCCAATGCTACGCTGTTACCAAAACCACTAGGGTTTGACCAAGATGCTGCTTTTTATTGAATTATCGCACCTGCTTTGTGAGAAGTACAGATTTGCTTAGAAAAAGAGGATACCCACTGATATAGTGAGCATGATCGTCAACAGGCCACTGGAAGTGGTGGGTCTCTGTAGGCTCTAACTCAGGCAGAGGTCAGCTAGTGTAGAAGAATACACTTATTTTCATACTCTTTTATTTCAAAAGACACAGAGGTTGCTTTTTGTGAACTGAAGCTGTACAGACAGACTTATCGCAAGGGGTGATTAATTACCTTGTGTCCTGCAGATGCTCGTACACTGGTCAGGTTTTAAGGGCAGTCTGCTCCGAGAGTGCAGTCTGTGGTTGCCCCAGCCCAAGGATGATCAGCATTGCCACCTTCTCTCCAAAGTCTGCTGGATAGCAACCCCTGAACAGGAGAGCATAAAGCTTATTTGGTGACTTCTGATGAAGCTTTGTTTTTCGTTTCAGTAAGTGTGGACGTCTGTGTAAGTGTGAGAGCATCATGGTGGCGTTTAAAGGAGTCTGGACTCAGCCCTTCTGGAAGGCCGTTTCGGCGGAATTTTTGGCCATGCTCATTTTTGTCCTCCTCAGCCTCGGCTCCACCATCAACTGGGGTGGAGCAGAGAAGCCCCTGCCTGTAGACATGGTCCTTATCTCCCTCTGCTTTGGACTCAGCATTGCAACCATGGTGCAGTGCTTTGGACACATCAGCGGAGGCCACATTAACCCTGCTGTGACCGTGGCAATGGTCTGCACGAGGAAGATCAGCCTCGCCAAGTCCATCTTCTACATTCTTGCCCAGTGCTTGGGAGCCATCGTGGGCGCAGGCATCCTTTACCTCGTCACGCCACCAAGCGTGGTAGGAGGCCTGGGAGTCACTGCGGTAATCACTTCTCCTCCGACTCTTGAACCAGACTAGCTTAGAGCCTCAGAAAATGTAATCGGTGTCACACAGAATAAAGAGAGCTCAAGTAGAGATTTTAAGAGCTTGCTGGTTTATTTACAACATCTAGACAGGGCTTAAAGCTCTCCGTAGGATGGGTTTATGCAGCGTAATATCTATAGCTTTTTTTTTAATAGAAGTTCTTTTTCCTAGAACTTCCCCAAATCTGATGACAGCAGGTAATGTTAATTTACATACACAATTTAAATAATATATGCATGAAATGCCATTTTTATATGGGCTGGGGAGGGGGAAATTAATTCTATGCCATTATGATGGGGATTGAAAAAACATCAATTTAAAATGACATACTTTTGAAATAGATTGTGGCTTAGATTTCAGCTTTGTTCTAAACTAATAAGGAATGCCATCAGTTAGCCCTGTTGCAGGACTTATTAAAAATGCACTTGAGCCGCACACTGCTTAATTTTTAATTGAAATTTAAATTAATTAAGTCAGGGCTAATTAATGAATTTATAATTGAATAGTAAATTACAGTGCTCCCAAGAAAAAAAAATGGTGAAGGGGAAGTGCAGCATTTGCAAATCCCTGTGCAAAAATAAACTATTCTTCTGCAATCTAACTTTGAAGCTCTTGTTGGGTGTTACTGTTAAGCCTTCTGTTCTCAGTCCAGCAGTAATTTTCCATGGCTCTCAAAATAAAATTTAAAAAAAAAATTAATTAAAAAAAAAAAGGGATAAAAGTGTGGTTGGGGGGCGGGGGGGAATCTGTACCTCTGAAAGTTCACTGTTGTCTTTCACTGTGTACCATTTTAAAATACCTTTCATTGAAATACAATTAATGTATCCGGTGGCTTTCTGATTTACAAAATCACCTTTTCTTCATCTCCTGTGTTTCTTTCCCTTCTTCCAGGTACACAGGGATCTTTCCGCTGGCCATGGACTCCTGGTGGAATTGATAATTACATTCCAGCTGGTTTTTACTATTTTTGCCAGCTGTGATTCAAAACGAAGTGATGTCACTGGTTCAGTAGCTTTAGCAATTGGATTTTCTGTTGCAATTGGACATTTATTTGCTGTAAGTTAATGGCTTCTCTTTAAAAAAATAGACCCCTTGTCCCTTTATGACTACTTCAGAAGTAAATAGAAACTTCTGTGGCCTTTATGGCTGCTATAGCTATATAGCTGCTATATTCTTTATGGATCCATGCCAAAACCCTTTGAAATAGCAGGAGGGTCCCCTTGGGTAGGGTGTTGCATCAGCGCTTTTCTGCCTGTTTATGTGATGACATTGTTAATTTTGTGATAAGACTCAGGAGAGTGACAATACTTGCTGTTAAGATTAGAAGCCATGAAAAAACAGGGTGTCCCAGTAGTACAAGGACTAGCTGAAATTAAGTAACCACCTCCAAGGCTTTAATAACAGGTAACATTTTGTCTCTGCTTTAGATCAATTACACTGGTGCCAGTATGAACCCAGCTCGATCATTTGGACCTGCTGTCATCATGGGGAGATGGGAAAACCAATGGGTAACTCTGCTTTCGTGCTTCCTTCACCGTAGCGACGAATAGCTATCAGGATTTTTCATACATCATTTGCTTTTAGTTATCTATCCCAGTACGTCCCATAGAGACCATCACTGAGGGAGACAGGCGTTGACCTGCCACAAGCTTTGGTAGAACTATGCGCCTTGCCCAGGACTGCGGTGCGGTATGCAGCGCGCTGGAGTAGCGTCTTGCTATTCGGGGGCCGTTTTGCGGAGGTAGTAGCTGGGGTAGAAAGGAAATCATACAAAGAGTTCAAAACAAAAAGAGACTGAAAGAATTGAACTGCCGGAAAGAAAAATCCTCCAAGGCAGATTGCAAACCCCTCGGTCATGCCGGTGAGAAGTTATGGAAGTAATTCTGTTGGCTTCAAGTTTCACCTGGTTCTGCGGCAAATTGGGGCAGACGTATGAAATGAGAGCAGAGACCCTCTGTGATCTGGTTCCCAGGGGAGAACCTGCCTCAGCAAATGCCCGCAGTGCAAGATGAAGGGGTTGCAGCCTGGTCTTTGCAGACCAGACCAGATGTTACCCGCTTCAATTTGAAAGCGTCAGCTTAACTAGGAGTATTTATGCAGGAAACAATTTGATAAACAGATTGTGAATGATGCAGTCATTTTCTATAGCATCCCACTATTGAACTTATTAAAAAAACAATTCACATTTTATAAGGGAGAGATGGATTGCAGCTCAGCCTCCCCTAATTAAAGACAGGGAAGGCACTTCTAGGGACGCTTTCGATGCGAACTGTAAGAGCTGCATATTACAGTGCATATAAGGATTTTCTTGATTTTTAAAGTATGAAGCCCACATTGCTCCCGCTGCAGCTAATAACAGAAAAAGCATTGTCTTCAGGCCCTAAGGCTCCAATTCTGCAAACACGATACCATGTGTAACTTTGTTCCCAAGAGTTATCCTATTGAGGCAGATTTACCCAGTTATCAGTGAACGGCTTGTTCATACGAAAAACTGCTGTAGTTTTTCACAAGATTAATTACCCATACTCTGAGGGAGCCTGTAATTTATAACTAAAGCGGTAAACAATAAGGAAATGTACCGTGGAGGAACTTGTAGAAAAAGCTTAGCTACTGTCCAGGTCACTTGGAAAGATGGCCCTTTCTCCTTCTCCAGTGCAGTGACATTGGTATGCCATTGACAGGAGCCCATGGGTTTCTGCACCTACTAATGTTACAGAGCTGCTGCCTGTCATGCTGAAATAGATAGGTACCCTACAAAGTTGTGTCTGTCAGTTGTATTTTCGTATTCAAACTAGATAATCAGGTAGCTGACTGTCTGTTGTGCTCTGTGGGATCAGAAGCCAAATTTGGATTATTTTGGAAATGTGAGTCTGAAGTAGAATTGTTTGTGCAGACACTAGGAAAGTTTTCTTAAGATTTCATTCTCACCTTGGGTGAGAATGCAAAAAGAAAATCAGATTTCTTCATGGATGTTTATTTTGTGTGTCATCTTGCAAACAGCCCATATATGTTATCTACAGCTGGCAGTATGCGATGAAAATTTAGAGAAGGCCTCTTGGAAAAATGAAAAAGGTGACCTAGGACCAATGCCATTAACTGTCTAAATGACTGCCTTTTGGCCAATTTCATATGTGATTTTAGAGTAGTCACTTCATTGCTGAGCTCCAGGTCACCATATGTGAAATCGATGGTAGCTCCACTTTTCTGCCATGTAAACTGGTATGGTGGCGGATTTTATCCCAGTTCATGAAAGCCAGGGAACTATGTGACTATGCACCTCTGGAAAGCAGAGTTAGGTTGAACAATTGGGCCAGGGTATTTTGCAGAAAGCTTTCTGGGTGCAGTCTGAAGGGATGTGCTTTTCTATGATACCTTGGCTTCTTCGTTTGCTCTGAGGCTTAATATCTGTCTCTTTTCCACCTCTTTTTGCAGGTATATTGGGTGGGACCAATAATAGGAGCAGTCCTTGCTGGTGCTCTTTATGAGTACGTCTATTGCCCAGACGTTGAACTCAAGCGCCGTTTTAAAGATGTCTTCAGTAAGGCTACCCAGCCGTCCAAAGGGAAGTACACCGAGGTGGACGATAACAGGAGCCACATAGAGACCGATGACCTGATCCTGAAGCCTGGCATAGTTCATGTGATTGATATCGACAGGGGTGAGGACAAGAAGGGAAGAGATCCATCCAGTGAGGTGTTGTCTTCTGTATGACTAGCAAGAAGCACTGAAAGCAGAGAGCAGCCTGCTAGCACGTCCACAGATATCCTTCCGCCTATTAAAGAAACAGATCTCCTCTAGACTGAGCGTCTACCATTTCTTAAAAGGTATGGTGTGGGCAGCTGCACGGTAGTGGTGTCACCAAACCATATGCCTGCTCAGTTGGAAGATTAGGACTTTGCTATAATTAGGATTCCCCATCTATTATTCCAAATTTAGAGTTGTTCCTAGTATTTTCCTTTCCTTCTTTCTGGAGCAACCCCAAAATCAAAAAAAGAGATGAAAGCATTCTCCTTTAATAAATCAGTCAATAATGAGATAAAGATAGAGATGTTTAACATTCAGATTGACAGTTAAGACATATCAGGAAATGCCTATAGACATAAAGACCTACTTATCAGATTGTTCTTCTGACACTTAATTGGCTGTTGTCAGCTCCGATTAGAACATCTTATCCATTAAGCATTCTCCGTGAGGTTCAGGGACAGCACCAACAGTATTTAAGAGTTTTATCCACAGTCAAGCAAAGGAGTATTGTTTCCATTCATGTACATCACTGTTGCCTTGCACACTACCTGTGAAAGAATGATACTTTAATAGGTTTAAAAAAAAAAAAATATCCTATCAACCCATCAAATTTCACTCATGTGATTTGCAGTATAAATATATTACCTTCATCCCTTCCTGGTAGTAAATACGCTGAAATTGAATGTTAAAATCTACTGTAATAAGGCTGCAAAGCATTTGACTGTCCTTCATGCTCCCTCTTGTCATTGTCTATCTGGTGAAATATTCTCCTGGGGTTTGACTATTGACCATTTAGTGTAAGCAGACTCTCAAGGTCATCAAAGAATATAAAGGCTTTCCTGTTACTTAATAACTCAAATAAAAGATATCAGAAGAAAAGAAGGCATATCTGTTTTCAGTGCACTTGTTCAAATACACATTTCTGTGCTAATTTATGTAAACTAAGAGTTTAAATTACTTACCTACTTTCTTACAAGATGGTTGGAGATATGGGTTTTTTAATTTATTAGTAATGTAGAGGGTTTTTAACTTTTAACTGTATTGAAACACTGATTGGGAAATATTTTTTTATAACGGATGATAAAAATATGACTGCTTCTGGCTTTTTGTTGTAACTGATGCCTAACTATTTGAACAGGATTCATGCTTGTTCCACTGTTTATACGGTCTTAATTACACCTCTGGCAAAGGTTTCTTTAGCTGTTGTCAGGAGAAGATGCAAGCACTTGCAGGGCTTTCTAGGGGGAAAGGGACATGAAATATGTTCAGTAATCAATCTTTCCCTTACACAAGTATTTTGACAGACATAATCACTCCAGCAGAACGTTTCTGTAAAGCTGTTACTGACTTACTGCTTTTGTTTCTGATCAGTGGCTTTGAGGCTTACAATATGCAGCTGCAGAGCAGTCAGGAGCGTGGTATTATTACTGTAATTGTATAGTTCTTATTTTGAAGTTGAAAAGCTACTCCTGCCTATTTAGCAATAAGGGGGGAAAAAAGCATTAGTCCTGGCTGTGGGCTGTAATAGCCTTGTCTGCTCTTTGACATACTCTACACGCAATCTTTATTGCAGGGAATTAGATGTTTCTAATGAGATAATAAACCGGTACTACACTCAGATCTGTGCACTATGATCCAAAGGCAATTCTGCTATCCCAACTCGCAGCACTGTATGGAACCCAGCATGTCCTGCCGTACTCATTTTCCCAGTTCCACGCTTTTCTTGTCTTAAACCCTGTTGGAGTGTGGCACAAGCTCCCTGCATTGACCATGAGATTCATGGCTCCTCCATGCCTTTGCAGTTGGACCACGGTATCTCCCCTGCACCCCCAGGCACTGCAGGTGGCACACGGAGGTGTAGGACAGAGCTTCCTTGGGTGACCCAACGACAGCCACAGTGCTGACATGTGAGCCCTCCCACCAGACACGCTCCCCGTCCCATACCTGTTGCAGCATCACAGCAGCATCTCCCTGTAGAGTCTAGCAAAACAGCTGATATTTGTCCTTACCCGTGCCCAGCACAATGGCAGCATCACAGTTCATGGTTAGGGACCTGCAAGGGACAATGTCAAATTGCAGATAAGAGCTCCTCCCCACAGCAAGGACAAAGTCTCCTGGGGAAGGGCAATGCAGGTGTGGTGTTTAGACCCTTGGATACCTCTCCTTAGATGGGTAAACACCATGCTAAATAGATTCAGTGAGAAAGATCAAAACTTTTGGTTTGTTTTTTGTCTTGGCATTTGTTCTGGCTTTTTTTTTTTTCCTTTTTTCTAACACGCCCCACCCCCCATGCTGTATTTGTTAAAGGGACATTTTGATTAAACCTTTTGCATGGCTTAAACAGGTGAAGTCAGGAGTAATACACATAGCACTGGTGGATTATTAAGCAAAGGTTTGCATTTTTGTATTTAAAGACACTCCTTAGGAGTTCTTGATTTGTGAATTTTGCATGGTACTGTGTTATTTAAATAAGAAGCTGTGATTTGTTTTATGCTTAAGGGTCCTTTACACAAATGGCTTGATGCGTATTTTCCTCACCCAGCCTGATTCTGCTGCTGAGGTGAGCATAACATGAGCATAGCACCAGCCACCTCAGTTAGGAGGATTTTTTGCCTTGAAATACTCTGTATTCATGAAGTGTGGCAAACACTCAGAACCAGTCCCAGGAGAAATCCTTGCTCGGAGAGTATCAGAGATAAGGCTTCTGAAAAGATTAGGGAGAAGAAGGGAAGCTAAAATAGAGACCACTAGACAGTAAAGGATGTTGCCATACCATTGGACATTAGTAGGACAGCAAGATATGGTAGGTCTGCTCCTGCTCCCACAGAACAAGACTCACGGAGGACTTTGTCATTGACTACAGAGGAAATGATCCTGAGTTTTTTTGGGGCCTGATGGCTTCTCTCATGTGCCTGACTGTTTTTTCCAAAATCGGAGTCTTTTCAACAAGATGTTTAATTCTGGAAGGAGATGTGTTCTACTTGATGTTGATGTCCCACCCTAAAGTAAATCCCTAGGAGTGGCCATCATCACAGATAGTTCTGCCCCACCACAAGAGATCACCATTCATGTAAGGGAATGTCACTTTTCAGCATACCTTAGGACTTGATTTAGCTTTGACCTGCGGGGATATGTGCTTCTCTTAGTTGTTTTGCAGTGGTATCATCACTGTACAATAGTCACATTTGGTTAAATAATAGACTAGCACGACCTTTTTATGGATTGGAAATACTTTTGCTTTAATGTGATTTTAAAAGTACGTACTTTAATACCATTTGAGTGAGATTTATGTTCTAAAGACCTTCAGCTCCAAGTTGCACCTCATAACATAACTTGGTGTACTCTTAAAGTATTTATTGGTTGGGGTGGGAAATAGTAAATGTCTTTTGTTTATGGTGGTGGATGGATATCACAGGAAGTCTACCAGGCACATCATCATTCTAGGGTCCTAAAAAAAGCATGAATGAATCTCTCACTCCTTCATGATGGCACGATTGTTTCCAATGCTATGTTTGCACTTTAACGCACACATTCAAAAGATTTAGTCTCTGGATTTCAGAAAAGAAAGGATGGAAGCTAAGGGTGGTTACACTGAGGCACACAAATACCTTTAGGGTTGCGTGAACTCTGAGTTTATCAGCCTAATCCTCAGGGGGGGGAAAAAAAAAAGAAACCCTGCAGCATTTGACTTGTTATCATAACCCTTCTCCTGTTGAAGTATTTGGGAGCTGCATCTTTCTTTCATTCAGTGGAAGCAGAAGCAAGACTCATCTTATGCAGTGTTTAGGCTTGTCACGTGTATTTGCATATGAGCTTTTCGAAATGTGTTTTATTTCTGATTATGAATAATTGCCGCAGTATCTGCTTAGAAAGCTAGATGGCCTTCAAATTTCCACCTCTCTAGTGCTTGGTGGCAGAGCAGTTGCTGCTGTGCTCTGCAAAATTTTACCTGCAATCTGTGTAACACATTCAGGATATTATACACCATCCAATATTTTTAATCTAAATAAAATATGTGAAAGTTTACATTGTGAACCTTTCTTTCCAAGGTGAGAGATGAAAACACTGTGCACCATTTTTTGTATTTCAAATCAACTTGTGTGTATCTGAGTTTCTCAAGGACTTAATAAATAGACAAGATGCAAGTACAGACTGAACTATTTCTTACCCACTTATGTGATCGATATCATACTGTTGCAGTCTGTAATTTGGGACAAATGAGGTAAAGCAAACTATGTACATGGATTTTTCCTCAAGAATGCTTATTGTTGAAATGCTTAGTCACCATGATATCAGAACTAATGTTATAGGACTTAAAGTTTCCATATGTAGCATTTGCAATAATCTACTGAAAAATACACTATAAAATAATACATGATTACCTGGTTCCCACTTGTATTCTACTGTTTCTCACACTGTTGTTGCAAATAAATTATCTGTTTGGGAAAAAAAAAAAAAGCATCATGTGGTCACTGGAAACATTTAATGATCCTGAAGCTCAGAACTGAAATATAAGCAAAAATCCCAATCCAGCCAATAGAACATGTCTAAGAGGAGTCTGGAAGTGTGTGCAACTGAGAATGAATGATTTACTGTGGAAAATATTCATCAGTGAAGAGAGGTGATTGTGAATGAGACTTAATCACAGAATCACAGAATGGTCAGGGTTGGAAGGGACCTCTGGAGATCATCTAGTCCAACCCCCCTGCCAGAGCAGGGTCACCTACAGCAGGTTGCACAGGACAGCGTCCAGGCGGGTTTTGAATGTCTCCAGAGTGGGAGACTCCACCACCTCTCTGGGCAGCCTGTTCCAGTGCTCCACTACCCCCAAAGTAAAGAAGTTCCTTCTCATGTTAAGATGGAACTTCCTATGTTCAAGTTTATGCCCATTACCCCTCGTCCTATCACTGGGCGCCACTGAAAAAAGACTGCTCCCATCCCTCTGGCATCCTCCTGATATAATATCTTTCTTTATGGAAACAAGCTAACCCAATTAAAGCAAAAATTATGCTGGTATATTTACATCACCAATTTCACCAGATGGTTGTAAAACTCATAGGACTGTGGAGAGCTAAAGTTTTGAAAAGTGATCAAAATGACACTGTCCTTTTGCTAAAGCATGACGTGTTAGACCAAGCTCCCATGAGGAACTTCAGCAATGGAAATTGGGTCCTGTAGCAATTACATTTCTGGTTGTCTGGCTCCCTGCTTGGAATGCAAAGTTTAGCTCCTAAGACATGTATGACATTCATGGAGATAAATTAGGATCCT